TAACTTTTTTCCAAAATGCTTACTTGTTCAGTGAGTGATTGTGGTGTTAATAATAGAAATAATCCTGATAATTGTACATTTCACAGGTAAATTCTCAAGACGTCGTCAATGTTATGAAGTGTTTATTTTTGGTTAAAATTTATGTTATATACTGTTTAAAATATAGAACGTTTTCAATTATTTTGTTAATTTTGATATTTTACAAAGAAAAGTCACGTTGCTGATAATTTGCATGAATTTGGTAAATACATTTTTATACAAAATATTTTACATGTACGGTAGGGATTGACTCAACTATTTCAAAATTAATATCGACATTTGTCTTGAATGTTTATAATGAAAATACACAACAAGAAAATAAATCCTCGGCTTGCGTTCTAAAATGTTTTTTGTTTTTTATTAGAGAGGGGGCAAACGAGCATGCGACTCACCTGATGGTAAGTGACTACCGCCGCCCATGAACAACCGCAACACCAGGGGAATTGCAGATGCGTTGCCGGCCTTTTAAAAAGGAGTAGGCTCTTTTCTTGAAGGTCCCTAAGTTGTATCGGTCCGGAAAAATCCCTGGTGGTAAACTATTCCACAAGGAAGTTGTGCGAGGAAGAAAACATCTTCTAAATCTAAATCAAACATCTTTATAAATAAATAATGTAATTTTATTCTGCCGTTTGTCAAACATATTTCCTCCGGATTCTAAATTAGAAAAAATGGTTAAGTTTCATTGGACGGGTTGGTGGTAATGTAAATAAGGACTCAACAATTTGCAGCAAACATTTTCTTGAGAAGTATAAAAGAAAAAGTGGAATACAAACAATTTTATTAAAAGAAGTTTCTACATTATTTGTACCAGTAAGTAAAATATTGTTATAATAAAACTTCAAAATTAAACTTACAAAACTTTAAATAAATATAGATAAAGGCTGAAATTTAGAATCGTTTGGCAGGAGGGGACAGGGGTGAGGGAAGGGGAGGAGTTGAGCGTCCCATTACTCCCGACACCACTCCCATTAAAAGGTAATCCCACTGTTCTTGAGAAAAATCAAAAAGAAAATCCCAAAGACCTAATCTCAAAATCATAACATTTATCGTCGCAGCACGAGGGTGGGAAGAGGGCAGAGAGAGGATAGAGGAGCTTTCCCTATCAGGGAAAGCTCCTCTACCCTTTCCTCCTTGCGGAAAACTGTAGTTTATGAGTAATCGGTTTTTGTAAAATCCTAACCTCACTTTTTTACACAGGAATATTGACCCAAAGTTACTTCTACAACGGCTTCGGCGCAGCAGGGAGTGCAGACCCTTCGCCCTTGCGTAGCGTAACCTTGCGTTTCGCGCCTACGGCTTTACAAAAACACTCTAGGTAGGGCAGACATGACCTACATGGAGTCGGGGCGTGCTAATTCAATTTTAGTACAGATTCGATCAGATCAGATATCTTATATATAAAGCCAGGTTGCCTTCGCTCCCGCCACATTCTTCTAACCTATTACAACTGAAAGTATATCTGGGTGTTCAAGTATTTCTGGCCGTTTTAAACAATTGAAAAATATAACAGGATAATATTATAATCATTTCTTATTTGACACTTGACAGAGAGTATAGACAGTAGAATATTGTGACACTAGTCTTAAGTCGTTTTCGCACTTACACAAAATTCTGTATGCTATCCAGCTTTCACAATAATATTGCATACGTTTTTCCATGTTTTACGCGTTTTAGGTTATAATAGTTTTTATTTATTTAAACGATAACGGTGCATTACCTTTTAATGTGAGTGGTATTATTATAATCGGGGACCAAACCTCTATCAAATAAAATACCTTATTCCCCCAAATTCCTGACAAACGATTCTAAATCCAACCCTAGATAAATATAGAGACAGATTTTCGTACATTATAAAATTGTAGTACATTAAGGACAAAAAAAAATTTAAGGCTATCCTCTTTAAGCCATTATGAACCCAACTAAGTAGCTATTTATCAACCAAAATAAATGTATAACCTTACTTAACCAATCGCACAGCCTCACGGTCATACTAGTACAATATTCATAGCATCACGCTATTTTCCCCAAGGGGTTGAGTGGAGCTTCGGAACTTCGGATTATATTCCTGTTGCGCGCCACTATTAATGTCTTGTACATGGTAGCACTAGTTACCACTAGCGCCCTTTAGAGTAGCAGAACTAGAAGAGTCAAGATCCTTCTAGAAATTTCGGGACCGATATTTACTCGAACATTCTAGATGTTTCTACAGTAAAAGGTTCTGGAACCTATCTGATGCCCTATATAAGACCGGTATAGACCACGACCGAGTCAGTATTGAATTGGCGATACAAGCGAATACTTCTAAGCGATACAAATACGAACTAAAGTCATCTGTGGTACAATTGTGTTTTGTAATTAGTGTGGTTTTAAGTTGTAATTAGTGTTCTTTAATTAAAGTGTCAATTTTGTTAATTCACTCGGCAGTTTTTAATTGTCTCGAACCTCAAGCTTGGCATAATGATAAAACTTTTAGCGTAGTTATGTATAGATGTTTAGTAATCCTCCTAAAGCGCTACTAGACGACCGCACATGAGACGTGATAGTATAAAATCCATAGTATTTGATACACACAACGGTCGATGCGCGATTCACGCTTGATGGCCGACGACATTGTGCCGAAGGCTTAAATAGCTTGGTTCATCGCCTACAGCCAGGGGCGTAGCTATCGCCGTATCAGCCGTATCAATGATACGGGGCCCCCGGGCTACAGGGGCCCCGGACGTATGTAAGCAAAAATTCTAAGGACTTCTATGGGACTGGACGTTGGTTTGAATTGTTTGGCTAGCTGAGTTCCTAGGAGTATTAATATTAGAAATAACTTATAATCAATGTATAATTATTTTAATTCAATGCGAGACTTTTTGTTCCTTTTGTGAAACATCTTTACCCTTCATTTGGGCCCCCGACAAATTTTGATACAAGGCCCCTCTAAGGCACGCTACTCCAATGCCTACAGCGTTAGTAGTAGAGAAGAAGAACTCGTGGTTAAGTAATAGCTGCATCGATCAATAGATCTGCGGGATTAAGTTGCACTTGCCGCGGTCAGTCCATGAATGAGTGACCATTTTCTTAACATACCGAGATTGAGAGAATAGAGAGTGCATCTGTGTCCTCAGACACTTAGTGCACTTTACTGTGTTAAGATCATTATGTTTTTAAAATTCATGCACCCAAAATGATAATAAGTTTATTATTACTTTATACTTTTCAGGGACAGATGAAAGAATATAAACATGAAGCATGATGAAGCCTCATAAACATATTGGCCTTTAAACAGAGCAATCTTATTTAACTGGTTCCTACAAGTTTCCTTCCTTAAATTATTAAGTTTACATTTATATTTAAGTCGAATGTTAAAATAAACTTCTATAATGCATTTAATTATTAAATATTAAATGTTTATAATTATCACAAGTAATACTTATATGAAAAATAAAGCAGCCATTATGTACTTCTTGTCCCTGTTTTTATTTGCCCATCATATATATATATATTAAGTATCCACCTATTTATATTACAAAATGTTAAAAAGAAATTCCGGGAAAACTGCCTACGACAGTAAATAACTTTCTCCAAAAATCATAGCTCCAAAATACAGCTTTCTGATCTGATTATTGGGGAGTTTTTTAAGTCTATTGGTAAAGTCACCTGAGGTTTTTTATATTTTAATTGAAATCCAACAAAAGGCAGGTAGGTTCAGCTTATTCCCAGGAACATGTTATATGAATACTTTTTAATGATTTTAGAACTATTATGGTAAAATTCAGTTAATTTTTGAAGTTATTCAACTTCATTCACTAAACACTTTATTTAAATCATTTTACCGCTTCCTTAACAATCATTTTCGATATCCTGGTAAGTAAAATATACATCACTAGCTAACGCACACAATAACAAATCAAAATTGGTCATGCGTTCTCGTGCTGTCAGGTGGTCTAGATACGCCAGTGTATTCTAATCGTAGAGAGAGAATGAACTACTTGTACATACTCCCTCTACGATTCTAATATGTTCTGGAATACATTTTCTTCCACAGACAACTAATCGTTGTCATGGTCACATATACATTCTTATCCATAGACTGGCGTATAGACGACCTGACAGCCCGAAAACGCGTGACCAATTTTGATTTATTATTGTGTGAGTTGGCTAGTGATGTACATTTTACTTAAAAGAGCTATCGAAATTTTTTTTTCAGAAACCGGTTTATAGACTAAAAAAATAGTTTAGTGCACAAAAGTTATTCAGTTCTATGCACTAAACTATTTTATTAAAAATTAAATAAATATCTTCCTATGTTATATATATATATATATATATATATATATATATATATATATATATATATATATTAAATAAATATATTCTATCCATATATATAATAAATGAAAGTTCCTTCAGAGCTTCTCCATATATTGAGGGCATCTGCCTTGAGATTTGATAGTGGTGCCGCAATATATAGATCCAATTCAGTATTTTTGCCTATTGACGTGTTGGCCGCTATCATTTTTTCATTATAAAATACTTCTGTCAGTCACTTTTACGCGTTTCACAGGACATTTTTATTGTTTATATATAATTGTTTAAACTAACCAAAGAAAGAAAGAAAACCACAGAATACTTTTACTCCTAGCGGAGGAAGAAACCTGTTGAAAACATACGAAAAGCGAAACTGTTTTACATACATAGAGATACATAAAGGTGGCGCCGTCTTTTGATTGACTTATTCATGTTATTGAACTTACTTCACGTTTTTACATCCATCGCACAGATGACTGATTACAAAAATCGATTGAAACGCGTAATTTACATAAAAATAGATTTATTAAAAATCGATTTTTATTATAATAAAATCGACTTCGAGAAATCGATTATAAGAAAAAATAATCGATTAATATGAAAATCGATTTTTTTTACATCCCTACATTCAATTTCAGTTTAATTCTGTAATTTAATTCGTAATGTGGCGCCCGACTTTCACAATTTTAAGAAAAGTGGTTTTCCCTTCATTGAAGGACAATATAAGGCTCTCGAAGATATTTTATACCACTAAAAGTCGGCTGCCGAGGTCTACAGCAAAGTTAACCCTAGTCAGTGCTGGTGTTGGTGTACTCATTGGGGCTGGTTATGGAGGTTATACACATTATAAATTAAACTCCAAGAAGAATGTAGCGCTCACCGAAACTGAAGAATACGCTTTTTTTCAAGAAGCCCCAAAATATCAGGCGCACTATAAAGTAAGTTAATATTATTTTTTTGTATTAAATAATTTTAATGCTGGCGGAACTATGAAAATTATTTGATGCGATGATAATTGATCCGTTGATTAGCTAAAGTTAAATTGGATTCATATAATTGATGACATGTTGGGTTTTGAAATGAGCAACAAAGCAAAATTCCTTTAATTAGTTCAGTAACTCTCCTTAACAAACAACATTAGTTGAGTTAAACTGTGCTCGATAGCACAGTCTGTTTTTATATTAAACTTGCCTTCGATAGTTTGGTTGTTGCAACTATGCCAACTGTACATTTAATAATTGGCGTCCCAAGTAGCACACAAGCAATAAATGCAGACATTGTATCACTCCCTTGCTTTATTACAGCTGTTTAACGAAGTTTTTATCTTTATTATGAATAAACCCTTTTGCATTTAATGCACTCCTAAATTGACCATAAGCTCCAATAACTCAACTGAAAACAAACTGAAAATTAACCTTAAAATTTTAATGCACTTGAGTAGATAAATTACTGGAAATTATACTGGTTTCGCAGGCACATTAAAAATTTTGCTTAATCAATGCATATTTTGACAGAAAACTGATGCTCGTGCTATTATTCTACATAAACAAGTGAAATTAAATCATTATACATATCATGATCAATTTGAGATAATATTTGTCATTTATTTTCTGTCACTAATTCTTATAATAATTATAATATAGGTATATTATGTAAAAACACTTTTGAGATGCTTTAAGATTTAGTTACGAGTTACAGTCGTGTTGCAATCATGTCCAAATTCTATAAAGTTAGCACAAGAACTGCTTGTATATCTTTTAGCTACAAAAATCACATTTCATGCACCTTTGTATCACTTTACAAACTCACCATGCCACTATTGTAGCATTGAAGCCCATATAAAGTCTTAGTTGCATAGAAGCGATTGAGAAGTTATCTATCGCTATTGTAGCACTTACAAATAAGGAGGTAAAGCTTAATTACTCATACCCGATAAGCGGCTATTGTAGTGTTTTGTTATACTACTTGTGTGCTACTTGGGATGTGACTGTAAAGTATAACTTACTTATTTTGTGTAGCAACTTATAGTACTATTTATACTATTGATCAACCTTTGTCTACATAAGTGATTTGTGCATTTTTTTCCTAGTTTACCAAGACTTGTATATTTTTAAATCTGTTTAATGCTGCCTAGGCCTGGACTGAAGTAAACACGACGCATTACAGCACGAGATCGTCATTTGAAGTAAATTCTCTTAATTTATAGAAGCGTAATTTAGTAATGAGATTAATTCTAATAAAATGTTTAGGATTTTAGTTGTATAATTCTAATAACATTTAAAAATGAATTGTTCCGAGGGGTTTACAAAGGTGGCATGTGAGAATCTGATGTCGACCACTGGTACTACAGAGATTTAGCTGTGATTTTTATAATGTATTAACACAATTCGTACAGTGAAGTGAGATAATGCAATAGAAACATACAATGCTAAAAAAAAATTAATATTTGACTCATTACTGCAACTTCCATTCTATACTCTATATACTTACTCAATATAATAAAGTAGAAGATTGTTTTTGTTTGCTTAAACATGCTAATCTCTGGAACTACTAGTCAAAAATTGTTTTTGTATATGATAGCCAGATTAATGACGAATTGTATAGGCTAGAGCAGCTAGCAAGGCGAAAGAAAAAGCACTCATGAACTGCTGCATACGTGTGCTCTGGCGTAATAGTTGGTGATATGTAAATACAATATTTAATAAAAATATGCGGCTCAGATGCGTGATATACGTGGGTGACACAACGGGTCACAACTAGTTACAAATGTAATAAAAAGTGTATATTTTTAATGTTATGAGAAAAATGCCAAATATTTTGTATAACTATGCAGTGCTAATGATCTTATTTTGATTTGTTGACTGTAAGCTAAAGCTAATGTAAGTCCACCTATGCCCAGCATCAATTGCAGAAAATATAATTGTGAATATTTGTGTGAAATATTTTGTGGTTTTGTGCTATTCTAATTTGAGACCTATATTTTATCATTTGCTTTTTATATGCAGCTCTTTGTATTGTTATTACTGCTAAGCTGAACCACCAATGCAATGTGAAAATACATTGGAGTATAAGAACTAATTGAAATTATACACAGCCCAAAATAATATTTTTCATTTTATTGGTCTTTATTTCTATATTTTTGTAATATTACTGATAATTTTTAATATTTAAAAATAATATGTGAAAGATTTCTTCAAGTACTAATGTTTTATTTGTTAATATTGATTGTTCATATTATAAATAATCATATTATATTATTATGCATAATTGAAAATTGACAGAAGCAAATCTGTTCAAAAGTGCTGAAGCCAAATCTTTGAGACTTATCAAGTCTTAAAATTTGTGCTAATAATACTATACCCCATCACCATGGAGAACGGGATTATAATTTCAACCATATTGGTATTATGATCACTGACCTACCCAGTGTGGACAAACCTGAAATGAAATGCTAATATGTCCAGCTGTATCTCCACTGCTGTTGAGTGTGCAATGTGTTCTGATTTAATCTTTAATATAAAATGTGATATAATGATTTCTTTTATATTGATGTTAAAATTCACTTTTTATAATTTTCAGATAATTAATGAAACTGATACAACTAACTTGCAATTAGTTTTATTCCAATATCAAACATGTCCATTCTGTTGCAAAGTACGCGCATATCTTGATTCAAAAGGCATCAGCTATGAAATTGTTGAAGTAGATGCAGTTCTTCGACAAGCTATAAACTGGTCTGATTATAAGAAAGTACCTATATTGCTTGCAAAAGTTGATGGAGGTTACCAGGTATATAATTTTTTTTTTTATAAAATGTCTCCTAGCCTACTAACACTATTATTATTAGTAATCTTAATAACCACTCCAACTAAGATAAATCGGTTGTGATGGAAATGGTAGTATAAAAGTGGATTTTGAATTCACATGAACCGCAAAAGTCTTCCTTCTGATACTTACATTATTTAAATCCTCAAGATAAATTACCTTAGAGAATTTGTGTATGCTTAAGCAGATCTAGGTAGTTAGATTTGCCTCTTAGAACTGGCGACTCTCACAACATCAGCTTAACATGTGTGCAACTTTTCAGTGGGAATAGACTTATTAAAACAAGCTATAAGAATAACCCAATGTTATCAGTTTCATATACTTGGGCATTCTTGGTAATAGATAATTTAGATTATTATTATGTAAAATTGTGTTCGATTTGTTGACATGAGTGTTAAATGGGACACAGTGGTAGCATAAGGTGAGTAAACCTTTGGGTAAAACTATCTCAGCACTTTTATTTATTTTTGCGTTTAAAGGTGTTTTTTCAGTCTGCACAAAAATAGAGAGTTTTACCATAAAATAAAACTTACCTATTATTTTTTTATCAATTTCCGGAATCCATCTTGAGTCAAGCACTAGTCTTTCCGCCTAAAGTCAGCACTTCCGGCTACCTTACCTGCCTAGAGGGGGCATCTCACCACTGTTTTTGCTTTGTTATTTAAGCAGTGATGAGCACCAGGTCTCGTTATTATGACACTCATGATGCACCAGGTAGCCCTTACCTGGATTCCGGATATTGATTAAAAAATAATAGGTAAGTTTTATTTTATGGTAAAACTCTCTAATATTTGTTATGTATCAATATCCGGAATCCATCTTGAGTGACGCGTTTGTTATCACCTGGTGCTAATAATTTGTTATAGTTATTAACGCTATAATGTGTAAGGTAAACAATAAAAGAATGATTGCAAGAGATACACAGCAAACAAAAATTATATCATGATCATCATCATCATTACAGCCCTTTACAAGTCCACTGCTGAACATAGGCCTCCCCCAAAGAATGCCACAAAGCACGGTCCTGAGCCACCTGCATCCATCGACTTCCTGCATGTCTTACCAGGTCGTCACTCCATCTCGTGGGGGAACGCCCTACACTTCGCCTACCGGTACGAGGCTGCCACTCGAGAACCTTTCTTCCCCATCGGTTGTCGGTTCTTCGAGCTATATGGCCGGCCCACTGCCACTTCAGCTTACTAATCCGTTGGGCTATGTCGGTTACTCTGGTTCTACTGCGGATATCCTCATTCCTAAGTTTATCACGCAGAGAAACTCTGAGCATAGCCCTCTCCATAGCTCGCTGAGCGACCTTGAGCTTCCTCATACGGCCAGCAGTGAAGGACCACGTCTCAGTTCCATAAGTCATCACTGGCAACACGCCAACGCACAAATAAAAATTATATATTATACCACAATTACATTATTTGATTATAAATGACAATAATTTTTGCTTTTATCAATTACAATAATAAATACAACGAATATATTTGCTCTATCAATCAATTAATGGGATCAAAATAATTTGATAAAGATACAGAATTATTTATGTCAATTTCCTTTAGTTCTTTTTTTATAGTAATTTTGAAAAGTATGTACAGTTTTCCAATTACCAGTCTCAAGGATTTTATCTAGAGAAAAATTTTCTAACCAACTTAAGGAAGATACTGCTGATCTTACTGAACCAGGAGTAGCTTCAATACCCGCCTCTCTCAGAAGAGATTTTACCCACCCAGCAATTACAGTACGGGATGCTGGCTTAGCGTCACCTCTAGCTGTAATAAATAAATGATTTATAGCCTTTCTGCGATTTTTAGATATCTTTAGTAACTGTCTTATCCAGAAAATAATATTCAAATTTTTGTCAGGATGTTCTTTAAGCCTCCAACCAGACTGTCTATGATTAATGCTGTCCGTTTTGGAACCAAAAGCTGGCCATAAGATTATGCTACTTTGGTCTACTATTTTTTGGTTTTGGCATGTAACTTCACTAGATTTTGTAATAATATTAGTTAAAAAGGCCACTTGCTGGGATAAAAATACTAAATGTTCTTTACTCACGGTTTGATCCATTCTCCTTTTCTTGTGTCTCCTTGTTTGACTGTAAACACTGCTTTTTGACGAATCACTGCTATCCGAACTCGACGATGAAGTACGCACACGTTTTTGAGAATTTAATAATGTAACTTCGTCGACACTTTGTTCCTCCATAATTTTTTCAGTAGGGTAGCTATTTTTAATTTTCGAAAAAAAATTGAAACTTTTTGTGCTTACGAAAGGCTGACTTGTGAATGGCGCGAAAAACAACGCTATAATGACGAGACCTGGTGCTCATCACTGCTTAAATAACATAGCAAAAACAGTGGTGAGGTGCCCCCTCCAGGCAGGTAAGGTAGCCGGAAGTGCTGACTTTAGGCGGAAAGACTAGTGCTTGACTCAAGATGGATTCCGGATATAATAAGTCAAATTACTAATAAAATGATGTGGTTGATAAATTTCAATAGTTGAATACAACTACTAAATTACTATTGTATCTCACAATCAGTTGTTAATACTCGCATAAACAATGTTAAACTAATTAAAAAGATCATTCTTATTTTCTTTCAGCAACTATTTGACAGTACGGCAATAATATCCATGCTCGAAACCTTTTTACGCGATAAAACCTTGCAGTTACACGAGATAATAAAATTTTATCCTATAACAAAATATATCAATGAAGATGGCAAAAACACAACAGACATTACTAATAAATATTTTATTATGCATAATTCTACCAATGTCCATGAGAAAGAAAAAAGAGCTGAGAAGTAAGTAGAAAAGGATTTGATATTATATATATTATATAATTTTAAGATACAATAAATGCCTAAAGTTTTTAACCGATTCTAGAACATTTTGTTCCACTCATGATACCAGTTTCTCTTTATGCCAATTTCTTCCATAGTGAAAAGGTCTGTTCAGCATTGCACTGTTTACATGTTTATGATCATTATTACATTGATAGAAAGATGGTGATGGATATGAAAGCTGTCACTTCAAATTTCTTAAACTTCATGTTATAAAAGATTTGCTTCAAGATTGGCACATTGAGATAGGTCAGTATGAAGAAAATCTATTCTAAGAATTAGAGAATATGACTTAAGAATATGACTTAAAATAGATGATAAGACATCTATTTTAGCAAAGAGCAAATAATTGTTCCAGATCTGTAATTTATTGTATATATTGTCCATATGCAAATTATGTATGTGAAACACTTCCATGAAACAGTAGGAAATTCTAGTGTTTTGTCAAAAAATATTTAAAAAAATCATATCAATTGAAATCGAATTTAAATATATTTCAATAGATATGTATATATTCACTAAGATTTCCTTTTTTATATATTTTTCTGTATTTTTGTGTCTACTAGCAGATATTTCAATGTTTTGGACTCTAGAACTTAGCATGAACTCACTGTATAATTGTTTCTGTGCCTTGTTGTGTGTTCATAAATAAATAAAAAATTGACTCATGAAAAATGGATGATGCATAATATAGCAATAAATCTGAAGTTTGTGCTGGACACGGTTTAGCACACAGATCAGCTGCTAGCTGAGCATGAGGTATTGCCTAACCACCTAGCAGCCCTTGCATAGATTATAGCCACTAGCTCACTTGGCCTCGGCAGGGTCTTGTACCTAAGCATTAGCAGTCCAGCTGACAAAGTATTAGATTACTTACATGATTGAGTATACATTGTGGGTGCACTTTAATATATAAAGAGTAAAAACTGGAGGTTTTGCACATCACACTAGGATGCATCGCTTTTTTGCTAAGCTGTATATTATTTTAACTAAGCAAATCTCGGCAGACTAATTAGGTGCATCATGTGTTTCAAAATATTTGATGTTAACGAACTTGAACAAGCTTACTGCTTTTTGTGTGGAATCTTTGGAATTGGTTTGTGTATTTGTTTAGTATTTGTATACAACAATTTAGTTGCTTTATCCTTGTTCTGTAGTATTTTTTTTTTTTACTTATTATAAGTCAGTGCTTGACCACAATCCCACCTGGTGGTAAGTGGTGATGCAGCCTTAGATGGTAAATCGCACTGTCTTATCGTAACAAAAGCCTATTCACTCTTGCCTTGAAGACGCCTAGATTGTATTCGGACGGAAAGATAGACGCCGGCAAATTATTCCACTCCTTTGCTGTACGCATTACAAAAGATGAAGGAAACCGTTTGCTTCTAATGCGTGGAATATCGACGACAAAGGGATGAAGACCCGCCGCCCTTCTGGTTGTCCGATGGTGGAAAGGAGAGGGAGGAATTAAGGCGTGTAATTCCTGCGTACACTCGCCGAAATGCATCCTATAGAATACCAGCACCAGCCCACATGTGACAGCAGTACTCCATGCACGACCGGACTTGCACTTTATATAAGGTAAGAAGCTGTCCCGGCGTGAAGTACCGCCGCACCCTTGCAAGGACACCAAGTTTCCTTGCGGCTGCTTTGGCTCTGGACTCAATGAACCGCCCATAGTTTAGGTTCGGAAAAAATTCAATCCCCAACAACTGAAGGCGGTCAGTGAACTCCAAGGATACATTCCGGAAAGTAGGAGCCAAGGTGAGCGGGCTCCTTTTAGCGGTAAAACCACACTCTTGTGTTTTGGAGGCGTTAAATCTCACGAGATTGGCATCGCCCCATTCGGAGACTGCCTATAGTGTGAGACTCACACGCTCAACCATAGCCTCTCTTTCTGACTGGATTTGATTCCGACTGGCCTGGGCGCTTGGTTGGTATCTCTCCACAACTGTGCTGTCGTCTGCATACCCATAGACACCGGAAATGAGGAGATCATTTATATGCAGCAGGAAGAGAGTTGCGGAGAGAACGGACCCCTGAGGAACACCGGCGTTAGTCGCCACAGTATCGGATGAGCAGCCATCAACGACGACCGTTCACTCAGAAAGTCCTTCACCCAGACAATTAGGCCAGGGGATAAGCCGTACGCTGAAAGCTTGCTCAATAGACTAGCATGCCAAATCCTGTCAAGAGCCTTCGTTACATTTTTTTTTGTATAGAAGAGGGGGCAAACGGGCATGCGGCTCACCTGATGGTAAGTGACTACCGCCACCCATGAACAACCGCAACACCAGGGGAATTGCAGATGCGTTGCCGGGCTTTTAGAAAGGTGTAAGCTCTTTTCTTGAAGGTTCCTAAGTCGTATCGGTCCGGAAAATTCGCTGGTGGTAATTGATTCCACAAGAAAGTTGTGCGAGGGGGAAAACTTCTTCTAAATCGCACAGTGGTGGACCGCCAATCATCCAGATGGTATGGATGGTAACGCGAGTTTTGTCGCGATGTGCGATGGTGAAATTGAGCGGCTGGAATTAGTCCGAACAATTCCTCAGAGCACTCCCCGTGATGGATGCGATAAAATACGCAAAGAGATGCAACATCTCTACGCAGTGCCAGTGTATCGAGCCGATCAGAAAGAACTCGGTCGTCGACGATTCGAACCGCTATGCGCTGGATGCGGTCAAGTGGAAGGAGCTGGCACTGGGGTGCCCCGGCCGGAGATGAGAACAGTGTTCCATGTGGGGCCGAACTTGCGCTTTGTAAAGTTGCAAGCGATGTGCCGGCATGAAATACTGTCTCGCTCTGCTGAGCACGCCAAGCTTTTTAGAGGCCAATTTGGCCTTCCCTTCCAAGTGACCACGAAACTGCACACTATTCGATATGTCGACGCCAAGGATTCCGATACTAGCTGAGGCAGCAAGGGGAGTGCCTTGAAACTGAGGAGATACGACAAAGGGGTTCTTTTTAGCGGTAAACGCGCAAACTTGTGTCTTCTGGGGATTGAACTGGACTAGATTTAGTCGGCCCCAATCCGAGACTTTGTTAAGCAAAGACTCGACTTCAGACACAAGTTTGTGCCGGTACTCAGCGACGTTTTCCCGAGAAATATTGGCACGGCCGGTATATAAGGCATCATCAGTGCTGTCGTCTGCATAGCAATGAATGCTACTAGTTAGCAACATATCATTGATATGCAGGAGAAACAGCGTTGGTGATAGCACGCAGCCTTGTGGAACACCAGCGTTGATAGGCTTGAAATCAGAGCATGCACCGTCTACTACGACCTTGATGCTCCGATCAGCAAGGAAACTGGTGATCCAATAGCATAATTTCTTGGGAAGCCCATAGGAAGGAAGCTTCGAAAGAAGCGCTTTGTGCCAGACCCGATCGAAGGCCTTCGCTATGTCCACCAATGCCTCCCCCTTGGACTCTACTGCCTCCGCCCATCTATGAGTCAGATAGACTAGAAGATCACCAGCTGATCGACCTCGACGAAAACCGTACTGGCGGTCACTAATCAGCTGGTGATCCTCAAGGTACCTCATGAGCTGGCAGTTTATAATGGATTCCATTATTTTGGAGAACAAGGAGGTGATGGCAATAGGCCTGTAGTTGGACGGGTCTGAGCGGTCGCCTTTTTTAGGGATCGGGTGGACCAAAGCTGTCTTCCATGAATTCGGGACTACGCCTTGGGAGTAGGAGTATCGGAAAAGACGCGTTAAAACCGGTGCCAACTCCGGAGCACACGTCTTTAGCACAATGGGAGGGACTTCATCGGGCACACTCGACTTGCTGACGTCCAGGGAGAAGAGTGCTTTGCGAACCGAGCGCTGTGTAAACCGAACATCCGGCATGGAGCACTCACATCGCGGGGTGGTCGGCGGTGTGTTCCCCCCGTCATCTAGAGTCGAGTTGGACGCAAAAAGAGAGCTCAACAGATCGGCTTTCTCCTTTGCGGCATGGGCCAGTGAGTCGTCCTTCCTGTGCAGAGATGGAAGAGATGGCTGACAGAAGTTCCCTTGGACAGCCTTGGCGAGAGACCGGAATGCACGGGTTCCCGAAGGAAGGCGAACTAGCTTCTCGCCAATTCTGCCGATGTGCTCAGACCTTGCCTTGGCAATGACGCTTTTGAAGGACCTGGAGGCGGAATTATACTTCTTTTTAAGTGCGCTGGTGTTTACATCCCGAGACGTTGATGCGTCAGCCCAGGCACGGTAGCACTCCTGCTTATAGCGTGATGCTATTTTACAGGAGCGACCAAACCATGGCTGGGATCTGCCTCCGATGGGCACCACAGAGGACGGAATAAAAAGTTCCATACCCTGAAGCACCACATCAGCAACAGAATCGGCAACAACGCTGGGATCTTCCGGCGAGAAGAAAACCCGCCCCCAAGGGTACGATGCAAAAAAAGACCGCATCCCGTCCCAATCAACTGACCTATAGTGCCAAACACGGCGGCACCGTACTCCGGATCAGACAATGGTCCGAAGAGCCCAGGGAAGAGTCGAGGGAAACAGCTGCTTCACCACTGTTCTCGAGGGCTTCGCCCCATATGTGAGTGGCATACGCTAGAAGGTCCCCAGTTGATCCATTTCGGCGAAACCCGTACTGGCGATCACTGAGGAGATCATTTTGCTCTAGGTATGCCATGAGGTGGGCGTTCAATATACGCTCCATAATCTTGCAGAGTATGGAGGTAATTGATATTGGCCGATAGTTGGCAGGGTCGGTACGGCTGCCTTTTTTAGGCACAGGCTGCACATTGGCCAGCTTCCAAGATTTAGGTACTATTCCAGTCCTGAATGAGAGGCGGAACAAGCGTGTCAACACAGGAGACAACTCAGGTGCACAGACCTTTAGAACTATAGCTGGTATACCATCAGGTCCATTAGCTTTGTACACATCTAGACTTCGCAAGGTTTTAAGAACCCCCTTGTTGGTGATACGGACCTCAGACA